TCTTAAAAAAAATTTATCACTCTCTTGAAAACCCAAAGGGGCAGGCCCCACTCTCTCATCTTTGAGATATCTCTCTCTCTCATCCACATTGTAAAAGAACCCAAGGAGGAGTTGTCATATCTCTCATGGTGCCTCTCATGATCTCTCATCTCTCATTGGGTTTTTTTTTTTTAGACTACAGAGTTGTAGTAGAAAAAAGAAATATTTCTTTCAAACTAGTTTGCTAAAGGGATTCACCTAAGGGTTTGAAATTTATGATAAAAGAGTTCATAGTTCCATTAGAGGGTTTGACTTAAACTTGCTTTCCCGGTTGAGATTGAAGGTTGATCATTGATCACATGCCATCAGATGATGATGACTTGGTGTGGGGTGTAATAAGCCCTGTTGAGATAATCTTTGACATTCTCTTTTTGTTTCTTGTCATATTTAATTATATTGTCTGTATATTTCCAAGCATAATAATTGTGGATATTTTCTTTGTTTAAATAAAATTAGCAAGATTTTTAAGATCTTAGATTTGTTAGTTTTATTTTCTTTGAAGCAAGAGTTATTGTAATAAGACTACTTCTAAGTGATCTTTTGACGAAAGAAAAGAAAATGGGTGAAAAGAAGAAAAATAAAAAAATATATCCCCGACAAGATCACACTCCCACCCCTTTTTTTACTTCTAAGTAATCTTTTGCCGAAAGAAAAAAAATGGGTGAAAAGAAAAAAAATAAAAAAATATATCCCCGACAAGATCACACTCCCCCCCCCCACCCCCCCTCGCCCCCTAGTTGGTGAGATTGGCCCAGCCTAGTCGAGTCCCGGTCCTAGCCCAATTCTTAAGACACATTTTGTAGCTTAGGCTCTATTTTTCTAGGGCTGAACACATATGAAAACGATTATTTTGTTACTCTTTCACAAAAGAAAAAGAGAAATACATTTCCACAAAAAAAAAACAAAGAAAGAAGAGAGAAAAAAAAAAGTGATTTTGCGGACTTCTTTTGGAAAAGAAGTTCTAAAGCTCAAATAAAGAGACTGTCGGTGAGATATTAGAGTGAGAACGTTGCCCTAGCATACATGTGAAGGGCACGCCGTTTTCAAATGAGAGAAAACAAACGGCACACGGACGGTATAAAATGAGGATCCTCTCTCAATCTAAAGCCTAGTCATAAACGAAATAAAATAACATTTTTGGCGTGCCAACGCTCGGAACCCGGGTTAGTAAACGAAGGCTTAGATCACAAGAGGCCGCATTTTGTAACGCGTGCGTATCAAGCTTCCTTGGTATGTATACGGTTTTGACTTAAAAATACATAAACAAATAGTATGCGTCCACACTTATTCCTCATGGAAGATTACTCGTTTCCATGAAAATCTCCAAATTTAATATTTACATATTTTGTCACATCCAATCACTTATTTTAACTTTTTTTTTTTCCTATTTTTTATTATTTGAGGGCAATTATAGGGCCATTGGATGTAGGAAAAAAATTATATAGAGCGAAAGCTCTAAACAATCAAATTAGAGCCCACCTCACAAATTTTATTAGAAGAGGTGGTTTTGATGCCCAAATACCATCAAATTGATCACCTCGACATGGACATGAGAAAAAACTCAATTTCAAGTTTTTGGAAGTAGTGCATCTTGTGATGCATTTTGGAACCATCAATTTTCAAGATTTTCAATTTTTCATAGATCTACTCGATCTACACTATTTTTGAAGCTGTAAACTTTACAATTAAATATGAAAATTTATTTTAAAGCTATCACAAAGATTTCCAGTATTGAAACCACATTTCTCGCCACTATTTAAAGGTGCACTTTATTTTGATTGTTTAGAACCTCGGCTCTATACAAACCGTGCCCTTGAATGCATTGATAATTGATTATTACAAAAAAAAATTAACTTGATCATAAATTATTAGTTTTTTGGTAGTGTCTATTGCAATGTGATTTAACATGACCTTATATGTAGTTTTACATATATAAGTTTATGTTTTAAAACGCTATTTTAATTTTATTCAAATTAATTTGTTAAAAAACAACATATTTTTGGCCCTACATGAAATTGTCTCTCGTCCAAAGAGGCTTGAGGTGTACACCAATACACATCAATGGTATGTTCTATATAGCATGGGAATTTATATAAGGGAGAGGTTTCTATACTTCCCCTACAATATAGAAGATAGATGCTTCTTCAACCATCTACCGTCTACTTACCATTTGATCTTAGATCCGACGTCTCAAAGTATTTTATTTTTACGATTTGTATGAATATGAAATTTGGTACGTGTCATCTTCTCATTGGCGCGTACCTATAAAAAATATTAAAAATATTTTTTCTATAAAATATAATGATCAAAATACCCCTTAAAACTTTCAATGGTGTTTTGATCATTTTATTTTATTGGAAAAAAATTCTATATATTTTTCGCTAGTGCAATTTTAATAAAGGATTGGACGTCTAAAATTTGGTGTCAAAACAATTTATAAAAATATAATTAAAAATAAAATAGTGTAGGGATATGACATTGTGATTGGGGCAATCTTAACCCTCCATTCAGAATGGATTCTAAATGGATGGTTGAATAAAGAGAAGTATATAAGTTTTATGTTGTAGGAGAAACATAGAGAGCTTGCCCTTTATATAATAAGACAATCACTCTTTCGGAGCGAGGTCGTCACGATCCTGATACAAAGTTTACTTTTGTTTTAGACTTTTAGCATAGTCAATGGGACACACTTAACTACTTAATTTCAGACCAAAATTGATTTCTAAACTCCTTATATTAAAGGTAAACAATCTCATTGGCCATAGTTCCAGTTGCCCTTGTATCTCCAATACCGCATATCACGCATTAGTTGTGTAATGTAGACTTTGCCTTCGTTAATAACATAGCATGCTTATTGGATGTGTAATACTAATTAGTTTTTTTTTATAAAGGGTTAGGTTTGTATAAGGTGTCAACCTTATGCTATTGAAATAAGTTGCACTTCAAAACTAATGCTGAAAAGCAGTTTTGGTGCCGTAAAGCCTTGCGATGATGTAAAATTTATTATTCCCTCCAATTATGAAATTTAAAGTTTTAAAAATGGTTTAAGCAGATCTACAAACACTTGAAAATCTTGAAAATGGGCAGTCTAAATAATGTGTTAGAAGGTAAATTATTTTTAGAACTAGAAATCCCCTTTTCTGATGTCTATGAATTTCGAGGTTGAGATGATTGATTTGAGGGTTTTCTAGCACAAGAACAACTTGCTCTAGTAAGTTTTTTATGTGCACATTATTCATACAGTAAAAAGTTAACACCTTATATGAACTTTTTCCTTTTATGAACACATGAGACTAATTTTGTTCCCTACATTTTGGTTTTGGGAGTCCACGAAAGTGAGATTTGCTGAATTTTAGACTTGGCCATCACAGAAACCATGGTAGCGAAAAACAAAAACAGTCTATGATACATAGCTGATGTATGAGAATATCCTTAGCAAAAGTATGGGTGACAATCGGGTTACGTCGGGGTCTAGGTCTAGGTCCACGTGTTGAACCTGGAAAGTTGGGTCTGGCCCCTATAGAACCTAGTTGGTTTGGGTCTGTGTTGGGTTCGACTCGACCCATTGCCACCTCTAAGCGAAAGCATACAACAAAGCCTATGTCCTCTCCAAAATTTGAATCGACAAAAATTGCCGTTTTAGTTTCATAATACAGAACATGTTAATATAGGCATGCACTTGTGTGAAACCACCCTCCCAAACTCTATTTTGGAGACGAATTTTTGGATTTTGGATCCAAAAGTTGTAAATCTATCATCTTAACCCCACTATCATCTTGAATATGAAAAAGTTTGGAATTACTAATGTTATGCTTTTTTCTGAGCGTGCAATTCAAAGTTTCACTATGATCAACTATTTTGGAGATCTTGGATCTAAGGCAAAAATGGTTGCATGATATGTGATATACTTCAGGTACTAAAAGCCGTATAAACTAGGGTGGGCACAGCAAAAACCTTTTGCTCCAATCCGTTGTTTTATGTGGAGACCATCGAATTTTTAGATGGTGAGATCTAAGTATTAGAAAATTCAAAATTTTAATTTTTTTTTAAATAATCATTCAGTAATTTTTGATTGGTTCCTAAAATTTTAGATTAAAAAAAATCATCTAGATCTTCTAACAGAGGGAGTAGAAGTAAATTATGCTCCCAATATTGTATAGTACATATGTGCTTTACTTTATATTCATCCGATGAACCGAACCTTGCTATGGTAGACTTCCAATTGGGTTGAAGGTTTTAGCCTTATATTGGAAAATCCAGTGTTCGACAACTTGGTCAAGCCAACCCGGCTCACTTGAGTAACTTGGGCTTGCCAATCCCGAGTTTGGTGGTCAAGCTTGAGGATATTAAAAAAATTCAAAAGTAATTTATAAAAAATCCAAAAAAATAATAAATTTATTTGTAAGACGATTTCTCGTTTGTAATATGTTTCTTTATATTTTCTATCATTTTGACAAAGAATGTAAAGTGTTTTGGCCATGAATACTTATTTCTATATTTGCCCATCTTTTCTCTCTCTCTCCTTCTCTTCCCTTTACCTCTTCTTCTCTTATTCTCTCTCCTCCCTTTTTTCTCTTTCTCTCTCACTTTCTCTCTCCTCTCTCCACTCACTTTCCTTTTTTTTTCTCTCTCTGCTCCGCTCTCTCCTTTCTTCTTCTTTATCCTCTCTTTCCTCTTCTCTCTCCTCCCTTTTTTTTCTTTCTCTCCATCTCGTTCTCTCACAGTCAACTAGACCGGCAGCTAAGCCACCGGCCCACCCTCTCCTTTTTCCAATTAAGATGTACTTTCAAATTTTATCATAATATATAATTTTGGTGTAAAAAGTTCTCCAGATTATCTTGAAATCTATTTTCATATCCAATTAAATTTTAAAAATAGTTAAAATCATTTAGATCTATAAATATATAAATTTTTTGAAAATGAACTGTCGCCATAATGTTGCAAGATACACTATTTTATAAACTCAAACTTTTTTTTTTTTCACATTCATATCTAATTGAGATGATCAATTAAAGGATTTTTCAGCATTAAAACAAACTTGTTCGATCTATTTTAGAAGTGTAACTTTAATTCTAGATTTTAAAGTTGCAACCTTATATTAACTTTTTCCTTCTTTTATAACCCGAAGATCATTGCAATTGCATGCAATCTTTATTTCTTTATTTTACATCCTAACGACTTCTTCCGGTTCCAGGTAATTGAATATGTTGTATCCAAACCCTAAACTTCTTGAAGGAAAAAAAGCCCACCCGCTCCCCACCCGCTCAACACCCGCTCTCTATATCAGAGAGCTCAACCGGGGCTGAAAAGCATCACGAAGAAGATAATCCGCAAAAATCAGTGAGTTTTTTCTTTTTTTTTAATGTTTATTAAGCAGATAAACCTGCAATTTGTTAACTTTTTATTTGTATTAATTTTTATTTTTTTCATTTTCTGTGAACTGTTAATTTGTATTTTTTTGTGGTTATTCTCAATGTAGGGATCCATTTATCAAGCAGAAAAACTCGAAATTTGAGTTTTCTGTTTAATATATATATATATATATATATATTCTGGTTATTCTCACAGTAGAACTGTAGGGATTCATGTTAATGATTTGGGTTTTTTTTTGCTCTGTTCTTGTTTTTTAATAGCTCATATCACCATACCATTGATGGATATTTGTGCCCTTTTCTTTATGCTTCTCTACAATCACTTTCTATAATCATCAAATGTAGGAAGGTGATTTTTTTTTTTCTGATTTAGTTTTCTTTTTTTTTCTCTATTAATCTCGAACTGTCCCTGTTTTCCAATATTGGGTATTTTTTGTTCTTTTTTTCTGATTTTTGTGTTCTTTTTTTATTTGTGCCCTTTATTTGTTATGGTGTGATAAATGTGCTCACGCACTTCTTCGTTTTCTAATGAATGGACCTGTGAGTTAGGGTTTAATTCTATGGTGTATCTGCACCATCATTTGTAGATCTCGTACTTAAGGTCTTGACAAAATTGCGGTGAAGGAGTAACACCAGTATGCTTTTTAGGGTTTTCTTATGCTTCTTCAGTATTGCAATCTCTCTATATCTTCATTATTGCAAAAATTGCGGTGAAGGATTGGCCTCTCTCTCTCTCTCTGTCTCACATTTACTCTTTGTCTCTTACTAGTTTCTGGGTTCGATAGTCATTGAATAATATCCCTTCCCCAGCTTAGAATTCATAATGTAGTCTTTCTCTTTTCACATTAACTGTCATGTGCACCATTTTTTTTACTGGTTTACTGAATTTCTAGTTTTATATGGCTTGATAACATTCTATACAAATAAACTGTGTTCCCTGCATAACTGTTGTATTACACTTCTAGGCAATTTTTTTGAGTATCTAGTGCCTCATGGTTATGGGGTTTGGGAGTTGTTTGTCATTTTTTCTATATTTTTGTTTAACTAATTCATGTCACATCCTTATTTGAGAAACTGCCCGGATGTCATTTGGATGACAGTTCACTTCATCCATCAACCTCTTCAATGCCATTTAGAAAATTATTACTGAGTTGTTGCGAAGGTTTTCTTCATTATGCTGCAAATTGTGGCAACACTCTATTATAAATATTAGATTCCAATAAAATGGAAAAGGAGATGAGTCCCAAGGCTGTGTATTTAAGAACTAGTGCGTGATTTTGCTTCCAATGAAATAGACATTTGGAACCCTGCTTGCTAGCTCTATATCCCTTGAATTTCATGTCACATTTCCAATTGGATTTTTTCATGCATGGATAAATGCTTATTGATGAAGTTTATTGCATGAATTAGTGATCCATAACTTTGTACGGTGCGGTGGCAATATTGAATGTTCAGCTTTCAAACTTTTAAATATCTATTTCTTAAATAAATGATATAAGTTTGCTCTTGAGGGCTGCCTGTGCATTGAGTGAAATCTTTATATTAAGAAAATCAATTTTCTTCAATATTTATGTAAATATTGGTATTCCTTGAATCTATTTACATGTTTGGTAATGTGTTGGATGAATGGAAGGAACCTTATTTAATTATAAAATGTTTTTTAAAAAACTGCATTTCGCACATCATATCAATAAAATACATTATGGGTTTCCAGCTTTCCCATTTCCAAACAGGTGAAATTACTACCACCAGAGTTTATCAAACAGGTTGGCAGCTTTCACCCTACCAAATCTTCACTTGCAGCAGGAGTGATTCACAACACACTGCGGTGAAAGTTATCAAACCAAATCCGAAAATCTATGAAAGTTGCAGCAGGAGTGATTTCCAATGACACTGCGGTGAAAGTTATCAAACACTACCTAAATCCCAGAATCTATGAAAGTTGCAGCAGGAGTGATTCCCAATGATACTGCAGTGAAAGTTATCAACACTACCCAAGTACAAACTGATTGGAAATAGAGGCTTGAAGAAACCCTGCTTTCACCCTACCAAATCTTGAAAGTTATCGAACACTACCTAAGTATAAACTGAGTGGAAAATAGAAAACACTATCTAAGTACAAACTGAGTGGAAAATAGAGGTTTGAAGAAACCCGCCATGGCCGCAAGCTCTGCAAACAAAGGCCTAACCACTCAGCGTTTCTCAGAGCTGGAGCCCTCTCTCTCAAAGAAAACCCTAGACGTGCTCGACACCTGTGGCTTCCATTTCTGCACTCCCGTTCAGAGGGCCACAATCCCTCTGCTCTGTTCATACAAGGACGTTGCTGTCGATGCGGCCACTGGTTCTGGAAAAACCCTAGCTTTCATTGTACCTGTCATCGAGATTCTTCGGAGGATCTCTGAGCCTCCTAAGCCCCACCAGGTCCTCCTTTCTCACCTCTCTAACTCTTTCTTTCTCTCTCTCAATTTTTTTTTTCTTTATATGTATTGATAGCAAAGAGTGTGTGTCTTAGCTGTTTTGAACATAATAATAACTGATTATTTGTTGCTTTTGTTCTGGTGATTGGATGATTCAAGTCTTTTGGTTGTGGTTTAGAACTTTAATGAGTTAGAGAGCATTGGGGGATGCAATATTCTTTTGTTATTCATTGGAAACCCTAACCCTGATTTCTTATTTCACTACCTGGATTTGGAATGCTGGAACAATTGGGACTTCATTTTTCTTTTTTCTTTTTTTTTTTTCCTTTGCTGATTATTGTGATTTTATTTTATAGTCCTTCAATTTTTTGATTTGATGTTTGTTTTTTTTTTCTTTTCTATTTTTTATATTTTCTTCCTTGATTTAGTATGAATGAATTGTGAATGTTGCTAAGAGTTGATGCTTCAATATTGAATCAAAAGAACATTGCAAGCATGTCTTTTTAATAGATAGTTTGCTATCAATTTATGGGACTTCATATTCACATATAAAAAAATCTGCTTGATGTTTCTTGGTTTTTTTGTTTGACTATTTGTAGTTTGTTTGTAGTCATTGTTATAAAGCATTGGGGTCCTTTTAATTCTTCCCGCCCTGTTTATGGCTACTTAGAGCCCCAAATGAACGGGTATTAATGAATTTACTTCTAGGTAATTAAAGTTTCTGTTTCTTCTTTTTACTGAAGTTTTGATACAAAATGTTGCTATGCTTATGGTTTAAATTATGTTTTTTTATGGTATCTGCATAAAGTGATTCAATATGTGACTCAGTTATTTCTTTTCGAAGGTTTTGGGGATAATTATTTCTCCGACGAGAGAGTTGTCAACGCAAATTTATCATGTTGCAGAGCCTTTCAGTTCAACGCTTCCAAATTTTAAGGCTGCACTTCTTGTTGGGGGTTCAAACATAAAATTGGATGTCGAAAAAATAGAAGACGAGGGAGCAAATTTATTGATAGGTACACCTGGGAGGCTTTTTGACATCATGGAGCGTTTGGATGTCCTTGATTTTCGGAACCTAGAGGTGCTTAGTCTAATTTTTTCCATCATTTTAATAGCATAGAATAGTTAGCTTTGCTTCTTTGCTGTTAAAATATTGTACAAGTGCGTGGCGAAATAAAAAATTGAGAGAAAAAATGGGGATAAAAATCTACAAAATTTTAAATTTTTTGAGTTTGGGGTTCATACAAATTGTCTGTATGATGAAGGGGCAAAGTGGTTTCGGGGCTGTTAAATAGCCTTGATTGAGTTACTAATGTTTCTTTGAACAACGCTTACTGGAATATCCATTTTATGGGTTTGTTTATTTTACATTATAATTAAAGAAACAACTCAAAATAAGAAGTTGGCTTGATGGGGTAGTTCTATTTGTTGTTTAAAATTCTCGTGGTATGATTCTTGCATTACTTTGATCAATGAAACAGATATTGATTCTTGATGAGGCGGATAGGCTTTTGGATATGGGGTTTCAGAAGCAAATAACGTCCATCATGTCTCGCTTGCCAAAGTTGAGAAGAACAGGCCTTTTCTCTGCAACTCAAACTGAGGCTGTTGAAGAACTCTCCAGAGCGGGTTTGAGAAATCCTGTGAGCATTAATGTTCGGGCAGAGGTTAAGGCACATGGTGAGTTGGCTCCTTCAGCAAATGCATCATTTTCCAAGACACCTTTTGGACTTCATATTGAGGTATTTGCTGTTGCACGATATTCGTTTGTTTTAAGTCAGAGTAGTTTTTGCTAGTGAAAGTTTAAGCTATGGTTATACATGTATTTGAAATGTTTGTTGTCATTGTTATAATACTAATACTATTATTATTGTTGTCGTTCTTATTGTTCTTATTATTGTTGTATTGATAGATTTTAATAATATTATCAATGTTATTACTATTGTGGGTTGTAATTGTCATTGTTGTTGTTAGTGTTATTATTATTAGCATCACTGGTAAGTACATTTCTTTTTGGTAAGCTGATAGGTAACTTTAATGAGGGACTGATTTTGAACTCTTGACCTCTCTCACTGAGGTTCATTCTGTTTTCTATTGTGGGCCAAAGCATATAGTAATGTGATATTCTTCACTCTTCTTCATAGAAACTTGTCCCTGCCGTCTAACCCAGTACTGCTACTTGTCATCTTTGGTGATGAACTTGATGAAAATATCTTGTTTCCATCATCATCATCAGAACCTTTTCCTAACTACTAACTAATTTATTTCCTTTGGTTTTGCAGTATTTGGAATGTGAAGCAGATGAAAAGCCCTCGCAGCTTGTGCACTTCTTGTCCGAGAATTCCTTCAAAAAAATTATTATGTAAGATCATGTTTATAATGCTAGGTCTCCAATAAATTTTTTGTTGTTCTGTACATAAGCCAAAAGATTATATGATCCTGCAGAAGCGTATCTTGTGTTCACTCCCTCGGGTAAAACCCTATCTAGGAATACTTTTAGGATCCCAAATTTTGGGTATGTAATGTCCTGACCTTGGACAGCCATATCAAAGTGTTTCAAAATTCAATATCCATATTATTTGTTGCGAATGCTCAATTGATCATTATTTGTTGCGAATGCTCAATTGATCATTATAAAGTGGATTCCAAAATGTCAGGATGAGAAAATCCTCTTAAGTAGTTTTTTGCCTGAGGTAGTACATTACAATGTGCTCTTGTGGGAGTATTCTATATAAGCTGATATATAATGTGATTGAATTTAAAGCTTATCTTATTTAAACATGTTGCTGGTGTTCTTATTGTTTCCAAGAGTCTTATTTAAACATGTTCCTGGTGTTCTTATTGGTTTCCAAGAGTCTCTGATTCTGATATCTCTGTTTCCAAGAGTCTTTGATTCTGATATCTCAAAATGCCCTTGAAATGTAGATATTTCATGACATGTGCTTGTGTTGATTATTGGGGGGCGGTGCTACCTCAGCTTGGGACTCTTAAAGGATGCACTTTGATTCCTCTTCATGGGAGGATGAAGCAGGTATCGCCATTGATATGAATTCTAGTGTCTACCAGTCTCTTACTTTAGTAGGTTGCATTGTCGCTGCAATTCTCAAATGAGTATAAAAAATAGTGCATTACTCTGGAAAAGGGGTTCTGATGCTCCTCAGAAGAAAAATATTTAGGATTGAACACTCATGTCAAATATGGGGTGTCTTGGGTGTTAATAAATGACATTCTATGGGGTGCTATGGTCTGGCTTCCATTAGTGCAGTTTCGTAGAGGACATGGCATTGTTTTTTATTGCTTTGGTTAAACTATGTAAGATTTTAGTATGTAGGACACTCATTTGTGGCTTATTGAGTTACCTTTTATTGACAAAGCCTCTCCAAGTTATGGTGTGAAAATGTTCTTGATGATAAAAACATATTAAGTTCATTGTTTTGATTGGGTTATTCTTTAATTTCTACTCTTTTATTTTCCTTGAGTGGTGAAGAAGGGTAGGCTTCGGAGGAAATTCATCCGGGTTTGAATTTCATTGACAAAATATGGGGTGTTCTTTATTTTGTTTTTGGGTTGGATCTCTTGAATGGATTTTGAAAACTATTACTCCTTTGCATCCTCTTGTAGATTGTGAGGGAGAAAGCATTGGCCTCTTTTACAGCACTTTCAAATGGTATTCTTCTATGCACAGATGTTGCAGCGCGAGGACTTGATATTCCGGGTGTTGATTGGATTGTTCAGGTAAAGTAATCATGGATATATATATATATATATATATATATATATATATATTATGCTGTTAACGGTAGGATATTTATTCTTATGGCCAGCCAATGATGGATTTCCCCATTTGCCCAAGTGCATCCTTGGATAGTTTTGTAGTGAACCGTCATTTGTACATGGCTTGGGCACCTGGGTGTTACAGCATGAATGCTTCCACTTCTTTAGTACCATATTGTGTTGCTCACATAGTCATTCCCTCTTATTTGATTCTCCTACTTTTGATCTTTCTTTCTCTACCACATCCTAGTGGATTGAAGCTTCATCAAGAAACCCAAATTGTAGCTAGGAGTGGGTTGTAAACTTATAATGATTCTACTTATCCTGATGAATTGGATTCGAGGATTGAAGGACATTTTTCTTGAGAACACAAATACTACTATGGGTTTCAGTGTGGAACACCTTTGCATCAGTCTGAATCAATTATATATTAAAGAACTCGGGTGATATGTTGGATACTTTGTCTGCAGTATGATCCTCCTCAAGATCCAAATGTTTTCATACACAGAGTGGGACGAACTGCAAGGATGGGTAGAACTGGCAATGCCATTGTTTTCCTTTTACCAAAGGTTTGCTTCACATGCATGGATAATTGCCTTTACATATTTTAAATTAGCTATTCTTTAAGCATATTCAACTATGAAATCTTGGTTCCACACAGGAGGATGCTTATGTGGAGTTCCTCCAGATAAGAAGGGTTCCACTTCAAGAAAGGAAAAATTCAAATTTCCCCCTGGATATAATCCCTGAGGCAAGTTGTTACAACTTTATCCTTACTTGATGTGTACATAAGCATGCTATTTTTTAATGCTCTTTTTAGTGTTTTAGGTTGGATCCTTTTTATACAGATCGTTTTTTCAGCGTTCTGCACACTGTTTTGTGGATGTAGACAAGGTGAATTTTTTGGGAACATGATTATTAGAAAAAAAATTTTATGTTCCAATTTCCATTAACAAAGATGCCATGTAATCCAAGGAGTTCATGCTCATGGTCTTCTTGTAATGTTGGAACATAGAGATAGTTACCATGCATACCCCGGAAGTCACATCATTTATGTCAAAACTTATCGAGAACTTTGTAAATCTTATTATCACCATGAAGGACCATGGAAAATTTTGCATTATTTGGATTATACTTTTAAGTGGTTCAGTACTTAAAAGGATGGTGACATTAGCCAAATACCCTTGGAAATTCAGTCTGGCAGTTTGCATGTTCCATCACGTTGAGAACCATAAATGCTATGCCAACATTTAATTTATTGTTTCATTGTATACAGTGTTTTCTGAACCTCTATTTTAACATGTATGGCAACTACAATCTAGAAGTCAAAACTATGATCTGGTTTGGCTGCTTCTTTTGAAGTATTTCTTAAATAGGAGTCATGTAATTTTTAAATTTGTTTTGGCAGATACGTGCTGCTGCAAAAAAGGACCGTGATGCCATGGAAAAGGGACTGAGAGCATTTGTATCATATGTTCGGGCTTACAAAGAGCATATTTGCTCTTATATTTTCAGGTTTGTTTTTCTTCTAGTCAATTTAATGATACAAGCTTTTAGTTATCAGAAACTCTCCAATGCTCATATTTATTTGTTCTCTTTTAGATGGAAGGAGCTGGATATTGGTAAGTTAGGCATGGGTTATGGCCTACTTCAGCTCCCTTCGATGCCAGAGCTGAAGCGTTATTCCCTGTCAACCAACAACTTCACACCTGTAAATGATATTGATTTATCAGAGATCAAGTATAAGTATGTCCCTTTCACTTCGTCAGGCCTACTGTTATATGTCTTGTGCCTAAGTTTATTTCACTTGATGTTTGAAAGTTTTTAAGAATTGTGAGTTCATCAGCACACTTATTCATTTGATCATAATAGAAGTTTTGGAAAAATATATTATAACCCAAATAGGTTATGGAAAACCTAGTTCACTGGGGTCATTGCAATCCCATGGAATGATGGATGGTGATGGAAAGAGAATAGGAGATTACAATTCAGTCACGTCCTGTTTCGGGTGGGTCTCACTCTCCCTTATCATCCATCCTTTTCTTGGGTAGTGATGACACGATGAGAACCATAGACTCTTGGGTCATAACCATTGGATGACACATGAGGCACATGTGATAGAGTGGGTGGAAGGACCAACCATTAGGATCATGTCCTGTTCTTCTGGTCGTCCATCATTTTTGTGCCCCTTTAGGTATAGTATCAGCATTGTCATCCATGCTTTATCCCAACTACAGGATTCAAGAAATAGATGTGGCAAAAATTTCACACTGGCTGCTAACCTAATACAACCCTCCCCCTTTCTATGGGCTTGGAAATTGGAACTGGCTTGACCGGTTTGGGACCTCCTGTGGTGGAGTTAAGTCCTATCCATAGTTATTGGAACAGGGTTTAAATAAGTTTAATCTGTTAAGTAAATGGATTCATTTTTTTTTTGTCTTCATTAACTTTGGAAGCCTAGGAGAATTGAAACCATTCAATTAGATTATTCTCTTTGATCATCGAAACACAGAGATAAAGCTCGTGAGAAACAGAGAAAAAAGAATTTGTCAAGGAAACTGGAGATTGCTTCTGAACCGAGGCCCAAACCCATAAAGCCAACTAGTGATACCAAAGGAGAGATGAAGAAGAAGACACAAAGGCAGAGGCATGCTGTTCAAACGGTCGAAGATGAAGAAGAGATGGAGAGAGAGTATCGCCTTTTGAAGAAGTTGAAGAAGGGTGCTATTACTGAGAGTGAGTTTGCAAAGCTAACTGGCATGGATGATTGCTTGGAAGGAGAGGGTTTGCTGGAATCCGGCATTGTGAGCCCCGAAGCCAAAACCAAGAATAGCAAGCAGAGAAATCTAGTGGGAAAACCAGGGAAATCAAAGAGTCGAAAAGGGAAATCTGGCAGTAAAAAAAGTAACTCATTTTTGAGGCAGTGTTCCAGAGTTTAATCTGAAAAAGGCGGAGAGATTTTTCAGGAGTTTAAATAAAAAAAAGCATGAGTGATGAGCCTTTTTCATCTATTCTTTTATTTTATTTTTTTATCATTTTATTGTCAGGGGATATGAAGGTGGGATTTAGAGTAAGTGATGGTTTCCGTAAATTATGAGCGTTGTTGGTCCTTTCCTCTCAAATTGAAATTTTGCGGTCTGCCCTTTATAGCAATCTTCTGTATATTAGATTATGGCTTTGCTCCCTTTGATTTAGATAACCCCTAATTTTTGGGAGTTAGTAGCATTTTAAGTCTACTGTTACTCGTGGATTTGATAACTCTCGTTAGTTATTCTTTTCCCTTTAGATGCATGATGAAATGATACTTGTATTTATTTTTAATTTTGTTTGTAAGGATACGTGATTTTTTTGTTGATTTGAGATTTTGCTTGTTTTACTCAATTTTGCCATTCCTTTTGACCATTTTCTGATATATTGTACTGTGCTCCCATGGGAGCATACTCTAAATTTACTCCTTCAGTTAAAAGTGAGGACTCAAATTTTGGGAACCACCTAATAATTAGCAGACGGCTATTTTCAAAAAATAAAATAAAATTGGATTTTGAGTTCTCCAAATACTTAGATCTCACCTTCTAAAAGTTGGACGGTCTCTATGAGATATTAAATTTTTTTTTTTAAAACCTTTATCTAAGGGTAAAATCTTAAACTATCAAATTAAGGCGTGTTTCAAAATTTTTCTAGGAGATGGTTCGATGTCTAAAATTTTTCAAATCCATCATCTCGACTTCAAGATTTATGAAAATGAGAAAAAATAGATTTTATATCTTGAAAATAGTGCATCTTGTAATGTATTTGTAATGTATTTTCTGGACTATCAATTTTCGAAAATTTTAAATATCTATAAATTTATTTGATGTACACCATTTTTAAAGCTTTAAAATTTATTGTTAAAAATAAAAATAAGTATTCAAACCGTCACAAAAATTTATTGAAATGACATTTTAGCGGTGCGACATTCCCTCTCTCCCTTTAAAGCCATATGCTCCATTTTCTTTTCCTTCTCGCCACCTGCCCTTCTCTTCGTTTCTACTGGACATGTGCCATCCTTGACCGTGTACTTCTGTCTCTACTCTATTAGGCCGTTTCTCTCTCCCCTGGTTTTTTTTTTTTGTTTTTCTATCCCTAGAGCATAATTCGGGTGGGTAATGGACTCGCCTGAGTAACTCGGTTTGATCAAGTGCCTTGGCCGTGGCGAGTCTTCACACACTGTTTGCACAACAAAATAAAAATGTAGAATTGTTTTAATTATTTAGTCTCATATCCCATATTTGAAGTTAGGGTAAATAAATTTCCAGAATGAAGTATTTTATAACAAAAAGAGATGAATATTCAATAAAAAAACAATCCTTTTTTATTTATAACACGTCGAACATGCCAATTCATGGCTACACTTTTGTAATTGACGTAGGTCACTGCATTCGCCACCAATCAAATAGATATACACATATCGAGTTTCCATCATTAGAGACACAGAGAAAGGGGGACTTAGAAGATTTTATTTATCTAATGCATGTTTAAGGAAGGTGATTAATGGCTTCTACCCTATCACCGGCACACGTGTGACATTGCCCACGATGATGCCGGGTTCGACCCAAACCACGACCCTATCGCACCGAAATTCTGGATCATCAAGAATGATTCCTTCGGGCAGGACTACAGCCTTAACGGTCGGATTCTCCTTCTCGATAGTTGCAGCTGCAATCTCGCCGTTCACGCCCACCAATTCCGGCCATGAGCTCTTCCCTGTCTCAACAAATCATGTTACTTTGTTAATACGTGTCACATATGAATGTAATGATCAAATCCTAAGGGGAGCTTGGATTGATCGAGTAGGTACCATGAATCGTGACTAAAGTTAAAAATCGGCAGCTTTACGAGTCAATAACAATGTGAAAATGGAGAGAGAACAATAACAAACAAAATCAAACACAGAGCAAATATAAATGCAAAGAACAGAGAAGGATACTGGTATTCATGTAGCTTAACGTAAATGTGATTACATACATGTGCAAAGATGATTTCATATGCATCTCCAAAAGGTGCAGGCCTGGCACATTGCTAGCTCTAATAACTAAGATAACCCCAAAGAAACTTATTTATATGCTGGAGAATCATCTGGCAGCTTCAAAAGGTGCAAGATGATTCTTCTGATAAATTTATCATTTTAAACAAAAATTATATAAAGATCTTATACATCATCTCAAGCATTTTAAAGGTGGCAACAAGCTGGGTGGCCTGGCTCATCTCGCCCCGGTCAGCTCAGCCCTAAAAAATTAGGGCTTGGGTCACAAAGTGTGGCCGAGGGTAGGGCCGGGCAGGCCCGGCACATTGCTTGTTCTAACAACTAAGATAACCCCAAAGAAACTTATTTGTATGCTTGAAATACCACTATAAGTCCCCTGAACCCGCACACTAGAGCTAAGGAACGGGATCCAAAATGGGATAGATGCTATGTTACAATAACTTCAAGAAACAGTAGCGCACAGAAAACAAAATAATAATATTCCTCAGTAAGGCCTCAGGAAAATGAACAAAAATAAAGAAAAATTATGATTTTCTAGAAGTGTCAAAATGATCACGAAATTCCTGTTTCAAAATGTGTGCACTGTCAACACCACACGTGCGAGAGATCTATGCAGGGAGTGGCCTCTCTTTCTCTCCATGCACGCCAGAATGAGTGGTAAGGGATATCTTTACCTTGACACTCTGAAGCCATGTCTGAACCTTTTCTTCTTTCTTCTCTATCTCTAAAAATCCTTATAATTGTGTGAAAGTAAATCTCTCCCTTTCTGTATTTCTCTCTCTGAAAGTCCTTTTAATTGTGAGAGAGTCACCAATATTTATAGCCATTGGATTAGTTCTTGAGGCTGTACATTATTGACTGCACACCGCCATATTTGAATAGTCTCCTGTTGCTTCACATACGAGGCATATGACTCAATAACTTATCCAACTTAGATGGCTATTCTTACACTAAACATCCATGAAAAGAACACGCCTTCTCATTTCAATTTCAAGACTCCTCTCCATTTTTTTTTTTGAAGTTTTTTCTTTTGAGGAATTTTAAACATTGCATTCAAAGCCTATCTCCTCATTAAATTGGCTTTAATATGGAGTTTAGGTGACATGTTGTGGGTAGGTTGAATGAGGATAAATGATGCATTATCCTTATGAAAGAACTCCACCTGTGTGTACATCTTCCACAAGCAAGCTAAGGATATCCATATTTTTAAACACATCAAGGACCAAACTCATTTTGAAGATATTCATCCACCTCACCTAAGTTTATCTTGCCTCTTCATGTTTGGTTTATTTGGAAATCAATTTTTCTAGTCATAAGATTTCTAACCTTGCAAACTTGAGGTGGCAATAAGCCAGGTGGCCCGGCCCTAAAATTATAGGGCCTGGGCCACATAATGTAGCTCAAGAGCCAAGCTAGGGTTGGGCCACAATAGCCCAAGGGATACGATAAACTCAATTTGTAGGAATGGGCTAAAGGCTAGGTGGTCAAAGTGGTGGGTCGCTACTAGTTTATTAGAATAAAACAAAAAAGCAAAAAAAATAAGAAGAAGGAAACATCAGTTTGTGCAATTTTAAGGAACATATTCAAGGCTAGGTTGCAAGGGTGGCAGACTGCCACAATATGACATCTTGAGTTCTATTCCAACCATAGGTAAGATTTTCCTTCCAGTAAACTATAGGGTTACTAGAAAGGTAGGATTATATATTCCAAGAGAAAAAAATATTATTGAATTCTCACTTCCGACTTTGGAACTAACAAAGTAATGTGGGAGCACAATGTTACCAGATAGGTAGGGGTGGAAATGGATCCGTTCAGATCGGGGACCCTATGGGTAGGATCCGGGTCCAAAACCTAGACCTGAATACTATTATGCTCTGGGTCTAGGTCCGGCCGAACCCAACCCGTACCCGTAAACCATTGGAGATAAAACACTTGACTTTAAGCCCTATTCGTTTGGGTGTATTAAGGATCATATACAATAAGAACTCGTAGTTATCTTTAGCTATGAAACGACAATGCAGATGATTGTGACCTTGTTGCTAATTACATGGCTATATGATGATAAAAAAAAGAGGGCAAAAAAGAAAAGCTCATAATCATATGGTGGCAATGGACCCGACCAGACCAAGGACATGATGGGTAGACCCTGGACCCGATGGGTCCGGGTCCAAAACCTTGGCACGAATGCTATTGGGTCCATGTCCAGCCAGACCCCACCTGTTGCCACCCCTACAGATAGGCATGATGGCCTTCCTGTGTCTTATAATATAATATAATAATATACACATTAGGATACAATATTTAGCCATTTTGATCCTTTCAAAAACTCATTTCAGTGTTTAAAAAAAGTTGTTAGGTATACATAGTGTTGTCAAGTGGGAGCACAATGTACACTTATTCTTGCAACAAAAGAGCTACATACAAGGATCTACTGGACAAGAAATTTGGAGAAATTAAAAAAAGTTAAAGTTTTCTAAACAGCTAGATCTGAGCATCCATAATTGGGATGGTTTGTTTAATCTTAGGATGTTATCTTTTTCTCAAAGAGTATAAGTTTTAATTTAATTAGATTTATTTATTTTTTGAGGTCGGTTGCTAGGTTGAGGAGTCACATCCCTAAAATTTTGAGTCCTAAAGGTACTTCTACAAAGGGCTTTATCTGACAGAGTAAAAGGATGATATGCTCCCTCGGGAACATATAATATTTTGATAAACTGTTGCATATGACTTAATTAAATAAGGATTACCTTGTAAATAAGACTAGAGAAATCACCTTCAACTACCAGATAGAAATAGAAAACAGGTAATGGAGAGAATGGGGCAGGATAATGTTTGGGGAACCACTATTCTTTGATGGACTTGGATCTTTGTGGATTAAAAATTAGGATTGTTAGTTTAATAGTTGAAGAAGGATAGATGGTGAGCCTGTCTTTGAGGGATTGTGAGGCCTTAATCTCACATTCAACGCGTTAAGAAGATAATTTCCCAAGAGGCATCTGTATGACATGGGAAGGCGTAAGGTTTAAATGAATGTTTAATAAAAAGTGATGTGTCGATATATCTGTCGGTGTTAATTTTCCACGTTTATGTATGGATAAGGACCACCTGGTGATTGTTCAAATATGGGGGCTGCAGTCAATGGCGTGCACCCTAAAGCAAGGGAAACAGCACTATAAATCTCTGAGCTAACACTCGTATCCTGCATTACAAGGATTCACAAAAACTGAGAGACATGGCTTCAGAGGACTGCCAAGGTAAGGATCCCCCATTTACATTTACATTAAGAGAGAGGCCCGGTCTTGCATTGCCTGTTGCACCTATACTGCGGGTTTGGGCCTGCACAAACCCAGTGCATGCAAAATCAGAAACTCATTTTCGTCATTTCCTTTTCCTTATCAAATTACTTTTGTTGAAATATATCCTAACTATTGAAATATGATATACGGATTATATTGTTATCCGAATCCCATATTTTGGGTAACTAGATGTAAAGAATATTATGATGATATATTTAACAGATATTTAATACTCGATGAATGAAATAATGTGCACAACTGAATAACCCTTCGTAAGTCCAAAAGACCCAACCACATAAAGCTTTATTTTCTTCTTCTCTTCTAGCCTTTTTCTTCTTAACTTATTCTACAACTTCCTTCATGGTTATCCAGCAGTTCTGCTCAATGGGACCGGAACGTATATTTGGTTCCACAGGCAAAACCCAGACTTCTATTAACTGAATTTTTTTAAATTTTTTATTATAATTATAATCAATGTTAAGATAAAAAAAAAATTGATTTGCAACGATTAAAATCCCATGGTCGATGGTGTGATTTGGTGCTGTTTATGAACTCCAGATCCTTTTTCTTTTAAATTGATTTTAAAGATGAATAAAACATTACTCGAGAAGTATAGAATAAAACTAGTCTTTTAAAGATGGTGTTTTAGTTGTGGGGCCGAATGTGCAATTTGGTTTCTTGGGATCACCAAACCCTTGTTCCTGTAATTGATTTCAAAAAAGAAAAACCTATACATTTTGTTTCAACTTCAAAATGCCTGTAAAATTACGCATGATTCCTTTTTTATATTAACTTGAGATTCGGATTTAAATGTTATGGGATCTGCCACTCTGATCACCTATGCACCGTTCCTTTAACATCCATCGGTCTTTTAGAACTCAAGCGATTTAAGTGTAAATAAATGGACATAATTTGCAGGGAAGAGTTCATGGCCGGAATTGGTGGGAACCAACGGTGAAGATGCCGAGAAGATTATCGAGAGGGAAAATCCATTGGTGGATGCTAGAATCGTGACCGAAGGATCCTCCGTTGATCTGCAATTTCGGTGCGATAGGGTCTGGGTTTGGGTGAATGAAGATGAGACTGTCACACGTGTGCCCAACATAGGCTAGAAGCCGTAAACGATTTATTCAGTTATTTCTTAGCATTTGGTTTCTAAGTCACGTGTGTGTTTATGAAATAAAGGGGAGCTCCCCATCTCCACATGTATCTATTTATTCTGATTATCGTTGATACAGTTAATGTTATCGTATCAATTTAGTGCTTATTGTGAAAAGTAGACCACCATGTCCTGAAAATTGGATTTAAACCTGCCATCACTATGCACGTGCGTATAATCCTGAATAGTACGGACCAACCAATGGAGATTCCACTATTTTTCTAACAGGCACGCGTGTGAACCACTTCGTGGGCAACTTCAGTGTTATTAAAACTCAGCAAATTAGCCAAGTGTGATATATAGCTAAGTTTACAAGGAAAAAGTTTGAGGCTCTAGACAATCAAATTAAGGCGCACCTTACCTTAAAAATTAACCGGAAGAGGCTCTCAAATCGATTTTCTTGACTTCAAGATGTATGAACATGACAAAATATGGATTTCAAGTCTAGGAAATAGTGTATCATGTAATACATTTTATGTAACGTCAACTTCAAAATTATCAAGTGTTTATAAATATGTTTGATCTACAATATTTTTGAAGCTTCAAATTTTATAGTTAAATATGAAAACACATTTTAAGCCATTACAAAGATTTTTAATGCTGAAATAACATCTTTCGACACTATTTCAAGTTGCGCCTTACTTTAATTGTTTAGGACCACTACCTCATACAAACCCCACCCATTTTATCGTGGGATTGTATAGAATGAGATCATTTATTATTGATACAAGGAGATCATGCTCGTGTTCAGCCTTTAGATGCGAAATACAATAGAAGTTTTATTTTGGACTTTGTGCTCAATCAATGATTAAACCTTAATCACCCGATTTCATATCCAACAGTCATTAATAATTTTGACCGACTTGCATAAAAAATAAATTGTCTCATTATATACATTTCCTTTTATAATATAGTGTTTTATAATTTATATTAGGTTTGGTTATAAATTGTAACCCTCTAATTTTTTTTTAAATAAATTTATTATCATGTGATGAGATGAGACTCGACCTAGTCGACTTGGACCTACTCATCCTCAGGCTCGGCTTCTGGCTGAGGCAAGTATTCCCCCAAGCAGATTGTACAGCCACCTGAAAATTATGAGGTGCACATTTTCTTATTGTGCTCCAAATAGGTGTACATTCTCTCTCTACAGATGGAAACTCTCTCGCTCTCTCTAAATCCATTTCGTCCTTCTCTCTCTAAGACCATCCTCTCCCTTTCAGAATTTCCCCTAATCTGCACCTCTATCCCCTGCTACCTCTCTCTACGATCTACCTTTCTCTGAAAGTGGAAATGACAATAGGAATTGCATAGACCGAAACTTTAGGCATGAGCATCATGTCTTCTCTTCCTTTTACAACTCCATCAAGCGGCCGCCATGGTCGGAAAAGCCCTATTCTCGCTGTTTTCATCCCTCTCTCTCTCTCTCTCTCACAGTTCCTTCATCTTCTCTCAGCCGCTCCCTCTATCTTTTTTCCTCTCTCTCTATCTTCCTCTCTCAGCCCGCCTCTCTCTCTCTCTTGTCCCAATACAACAAAATAAAAATAAAGTTTATATAAAGTTGCAAACTTGAAATGTAGAATTAAAGATGCACCTCAAAAATCCATTGGATAAGCTTATTTTAATGTTTAAAAAACTTTCTAATTGATCATCTTAATATCAAGATGTATGAATATGAAAAAAAAAAATAGATTTTGAGTCCCGGAAATAGTGTATCTTGTAACACATAATCTTGACTGTCTATTTTTAAGATTTTCATATTTTTATAGATCTACTTGATTTTAATCATGTTTTAAGTTTAAAATTTTATAAATAGAGATGAAAATAGATTTAAATTTTTTTTGAGGCAAGTCTTAATTGATTTGTACAACCTTATAGAAACCACACCTTTTAATTATTTAGTTTCACTTCACATATTTCAAATAAAGGTCTGCAAATTTTCAAGTAAAGGTCATATTGCATATATATATATATATATATTTAATGATAAAAAATGGGTGAGGATTGTATAAAGAAGCCCCTTTAGAGCGTAGAAGTAAGGCGTATCTCTCAAATTTACTTGGAGATGTAGATTTGGTGTTAGAAACTTATAAATAAAAAAAGTATTTTTATTCGTAGTTAGAAAATTTGAAATTTAAAATAGTACACATCAACCAGATACATAAACGCTTGAAAATGTTGAAAATAGACAATCTAGATAACATGTTACAATGGGTAATGTTTATAGGATGTGGATTTTTTTTTCCCTTTTTCTTCATATCCACACATTTCCAGGTCAAGATGGTCGATTAACTTTCAAACACTATCTTTTTATAAGATTTTTATGGTGCCTCTTACTTCAACCTTATGAGATCGCAGCCTGTTATAAACTTCTTTCTTCTTATAACTAGGACTTCATTATTTATCCCATACATGTATTATTGTTGCTTGGTTATACATGTAATTTAGAGTAACGAGAGCTACACGCCTTTGAGGTTCTATAGCGATTACATTATCATGATGCAAAAACACCTAAAAAAAGAATGTTTTAAAAAAGGAAAAAGTTGATATAGAGCTGAGGCTCGAACAATCAAATTAGAGCCCCCCTGAAAAATTTCACTGCAAGAGGTTGTTTTGATACCCAATTATCCTCGACTTCAGAAACATGCAATGGATTTCAAGTTTTGTAAATAGTGCATCTTGTAATGAATTTTGGGATCATCAATTTTCAAGATTTTCAATTTTTCATAAATCTGCTCTATATACACTATTTTTGAAGTTTTAAATTTACAATTAAAAAAGAAAATATATTCTATCACAAAGATTTCCAATATGAAACCACATTTCTCGATACTATTTGAAGGTGTGTTTTACTTTGATTGTTTAGAGCCTCGGCTCTATACAAACCGCACACATTTAGGAAAAATTTTATATAGAGCCGAGGCTCTAAACAATTAAATTAGAGCCCACTTAAAAATTTTACTACAAGAGGTTGTTTTGATGATGGACATGGAAAAAAAATGGACTTCAAGTTTTGAAAATATTGCATATTCTAACGCATTTTTGGACCATCAATTTCAAGATTTTAAAATTTTCATAGATCTTCTTGTTCTATACTATTTTTTGAGACTTTAAAATTTATAATTAAACATAAAAATATATTTTAAGACTATCACAAAGATTTCCAGTATTAAAATCACATTTCTCGACACTATTTGCAGGTGCGCTTTACTTTGATTGTTTAGTGCCTCGTCTCTAAACAATCAAATTAGAGCCCACCTTCAAATATTGTCGAGAAATATGGTCTCAAGACTGAAAAGTTTTGTGATAGCCTTAAATTATATTTTCATCTTTAGTTATGAAATTTAAGGCTTAAAAAATAGTGTAGGTAAAATAGATCTATGAAAACTTGAAAATTAACGGTCCAAAAATGTGTTACAAGATGCATTATTTCCAAAACTTGAAATCGATTTTTTTCTCATGTCCATACATCTTGATGTCGAGGTCATCAATTTAATGATATTTGAGCATCAAAACAACCTCTTTCAGTAAAAATTTTAAGGTAGGCTCTAATTTGATTGTTTATAGCCTAGGCTCTACGTAAACTTTGCCACGAATCCTGGGGCTCATATGTGCGTAAAAGTTTCCTCTACATGATACTTTTTTTTTATGGATTTTGTTACTCATTGTTTAGGTATATATAATATTTAACATGGAGATCATGAACGTATAAAAAATATATTTTTAAAACTAAAAATGATTTTTTTAAAGAGAAATTCTTAAACGATTGATTTTTCCCCCTCTTGGAGTAACTACAATTCCACATCGAAATCTAAGATGGATGTGTAATGCCTCGGGGGACACAAATGTAGTTAGCAACGCATAAACCATTTTTCCTTATTTATTATATCTAAAACACGGCTTTCTTTTAACTTGTAATTTTTACCAATAAAATTTCTTAACTTAAAATAAAGAAGATTAATCTGCTGTTAACATTCAAAAAAATAAAATTAGAAGACTGATACTGTGTCGTATCTTTTACTTTAGAGAAAAGTTTATATAGAGCCGAGGCCCTAAATAAGCACATTCAAGTTTACCTCAAAAATTTCACTAGACGAGATTGTTGTGATGCCCAAAAATACTCGAATTGATCATCTCAACATCAAGATACATGAACAAGAAAAAAAAATTGATTTCAAGTTTTGGAAATAATGTATTTTGTAATGTATTTTTTTATCGTCAATTTTCAAGTTTTCATAGATCTGTCAATCTACAGAATTTTTGAAGATTTAAACTTTATGAATAAAGATCAAAATTAATTTTAAGGATATCAAAAAGATTTTCAGTGTTGAAACCGCATTTCTCGATACTACTTAGCAATAGGCTCTAATTTGATTGTTTAGAGCCTAGGCTCTATAATAACCGCACTCTTTACTTTATATGAAACTTAAAATGAATAGTAGAATGTTATTGTCTTGTATATGCATGGAAACCTTATTAATAAGAAAAATATTATTCAAGGGTCAAAACCCTTTACAACATCATTAAGGGGTCAATATATTCAACTAACACTATAAATTTACTTTTAAATTTTTCATTTTTACTCAAATACTCCAAAAAATATATATCTTAGAAATACTTATAGTACCCTGTTCATGTTGGGAACTTGAAGAAGCAGAGCCATTTCATTAATTTGACGCTTTCAATAAAATAATAGGAGTACTTCTACTTGTCTAGGGTGGGTCATACTGAAAAATCCCAGCTCACTTAAGGTTCTCAACCCCAATCAAAGGCAATTTGTGAAATTTTGAAGTACACTCCAAGCAATTTGTGAAAATTTGAAGTACGCTCCCTAGTGTTTATTGTAATTTTTTTACCCCCTTAAAAATAAGAGATTTTGACCCCTAAACGATTTTTTTCCTACTTAAAATTCAGGTGAGATTCCTTCTTTGAAGGGTAGAATATATGATCCAAATCCTTATTTTCTTGTGACAAGGATTCTCAAGTAGCAATTATATGCATTCAATTCTCTTTCTTGTGGGATAAGGTTTTGTCTCTCTCCAGCCGTTCAGATACAATGAAAAATGTAGGACGTCAGTATATGATCACAACGTACAATACATCCTTAGTATGCAGTA